ATAATTTCATTCAAATCTCCCTATAAATCCATCATAAGTAAGCATATCACCCTACATACCAGTTATTAAATTCTCCATCCACATAGCTCACCCTATAACAACTCCAATTCATACAAAAAAAAACTTTTCCTTTTTATTGGCATTGAAATGTAAGTTGTGCAAGCTGTTCATGCAAAAAAATAACAATTTCTAAATATAATCCCTTCATCTGTATGCAATATGAACTTTTCTGTGACTTATGTCATATAATCGACAGACATAATATTTCTCGTCTGTTGCAATAATGCAGAATGTTAGAAAATACAACAAGCTTTACATCAAGAAAGATGAAAACTTCCTGAAGATATTATATGCTATCGTTTAGTTGATTTCTCATGAGATTTACTTATCCAAGAAACATGGAAAGGATGTAAAAGATTGAATTGGAAATGAAGGAAAAATATTAAAAGATGAGAGAAAGTTATTCGACATGAAACAATTCAATAATTCTATCTACATAAATTTACGACTCTGTGCTGTTGTTGTTGGTGTAAGATGAGCTTAATTCAACTGAACTTAACATTAGAATATTGAATCAATTTTATGTATACATGTCTTGGATTATTGAAGATGCTCTTAGGAATCACTGAGTAAACATTTGATGAGATTTTATGCTAAAGATTTGATTGGATTATACAGTAAGTTCTTAATATTTTTTTGAGTATGAAAATTTCGATTTGCATCAGTTGAACTTCTGCAACAATTATATAAAAAAGATGCAAAAAGATTCCTACTTTATGAGTGTGTTCAGTGAAAAAATTCTGTGCCATAAGTACGTTCAGTGATAAATAAAAAATATAAATTTTGAATTGAGTACGTTCAATGAAAAGATGCGAAAAAGCCTTACTGCATAATGAGCGTGTTCAGCAAAAAAAATCTGCGTGATAAGTAAAACATGTTCGAAAATAACTTCTGCGTCAAGAGTGCGTTCAGTGAAAAGAGATGCAAAAAAATTTCTGCATCAAAAGTCACAAAATCTTTCTTAACTTACTGTGCTGAAATGATAAAACAAACGTAAAGACAGCTTTTATCAGACAAATTCTGAATACACAATTATTTAATCCTCTCATCCTCATTCAATTCTATCAAAAACAAATTTTCGTTTCTCCCCACAAAAAAAAATATCTCAAAATTTAAATCTCAAAAAAAAATTCTCACATAAATCACACAAAAAAATTGTCAAAACATGAAAATTTTCAAAGCAAACAAAAAAAAAGTTTTTAAATTCTCATCTTGTTTCGCCATCATTTTTGAATTATTTATTTTCAGATCATCGAAAAACATACACAAATTGATAAGATGAAGATATCCTAGAAAAGAGAGAACAAAATCCACAAAGAAAGATGCAAAAAGATTTTTTTATTCTTAATTCACACATGCTTCATAACCATTCAAATCACGTCTTGAATGGATATCATCGAATAATGCTAAGTAGAATAAAAATGAAAATAATTTCTGTATGTTTAACACGTTTCTCTTAAGGTGTTGCATCACATGGCGCTCGATTAGCTTCTTCTTCTTTTTTACTTCTTGGAAGTGTATGCTAGAGAAGTTTATTTTGTAGAATTTTACTGTTTGTGGGGTAGATGAGCTGCTGTACTTTTTTTGGCTGGGTGGATTAAAGATTCATGGGAAGAGCTCTTACGTCGTGTAAAAGCAAGAACTTTATAAAAAGGAAATTAAGTCATTTTGGTGCTCAGCTCAAAACATTAAGAATATCAAATTAAGATCATTTATGGGTTGTAATTGAGACTCTTTGACTCTTAAGGGGTCCTTTTGCAACCCTTCTTAGAGACTAAAATTGATGTTCTGTATGGAGTTCAATTAGGGTTTTACTTGAAGACTCTTTAAGAATATATTTAATATTTTTAAATTGGTTAAATTGAAAACCTTCAGCCGAATAAAAGAATGCGCCTCTACCACCTTCAACCAAGTAACTTCCCTCACACTCTTTTATTTTAAAATATCTCATACTTAAGTATCTGCTAACGAGATGAACATTTGTTAGTTTGAAAGAATGAAGAAGACAGTAGAGTTGTTCTATGGTACAAAATTTTATTGTTCAGTTGATGACGAAAATTTTTTTGTCAGCACAGCTTCGTTGTCAGAATTTTGAATTGTGTATATCATCAACATTGCTGTGTAGAATCTCATTATAAAACTGTCACATTATTCATACTTAATAGCATTTCATCACTCAATAGTTGAGTTTATCGTTTCTCTCTTTTTTTCTGTGTGGTAAATTCCATTTTCTATTTTTCATTCCATTTCCATCGCTCGAATGTCATAAAAATGTGCCATTTAATTTTACAAGAATTTTCGCTTCACCAAAAATAATAAAAAAAGTCGCAAGATAATTAAATGAATGCCACAAATTTTATCCGTGTACTATCATCCCACTCACGATTTTTTGAGAAGAGTTTTAATAGCCGAATATTTTGTGGCAGCAGCAGCATCAAATTTGATGTTAAAGGCTCATAAATTTTATTCGAATTCTACTCGATAAATCCTCTCTTTAACGTGACCTGAGTGGTAAATTAATTCGGATGATGTTATTTACGATGACTTAGGCAGGTTGTCTTGTGTTGTATTTAGATTGAGATATTGCGGAATTTGGAAGTAGATAGGAGTGGGAAGCTTGACAAGAATTGGTATTTATTATGAATATAGGTCAAATTCTATGAAAAACTTGTTAATTGTGGTGATGCTGATTTAGGATTCGAGTCAGTGTATCAAGGCACATTGTCTGGTCGGTTTTGAGGTTAAATTTTCTCAAAATAAATTATAATCATAAGTGCTCTTCATATGCCTATCTAATAATCAAGAACCATTTTAGAGATGCGAGTTGTGCCAAGCTTAGTCACAGTTGAATACAAGTTATGCCCTAAAGTTTGGTACATAGATTTTTAATCCAAAGGCTAGTGTGCTTTCGATATACCTAGAAAATGACCACATTGCTAGAATTTTAAAGTTAAATCATATTTCCAGGTCAATTTATATTATATTACACAAAGCTTTAGATTCTCCGAGCTAATATTCCCAAAGACTTCCATCCCTAGCCTAAACACCTTACGAAATATCCTTTTAAGAACCATTAAAAATCAAAATTAACGTTCGAAGCAATCCTAAAAATAAAACAAGCAATATTTTAATGTATTTCATCTCCATTCTTCCATCCTTAAATACATAAAAATAAAACATTAGGTCGCTCGATGAATAAAGCAATCAATTTATATGCTTCAATTAAAAAATAAATTGTGAGGCAATAATTTTTCATCTTTTTCTTATAACAATGTAAATGTCTCAGCTCGATGGAAATGAGAAGGAAAAGCGAAAAATGATTTATTGCAATTTTTACTGCCATTTTTTTCTCTTTCTTTCGTCGTTTTTATTCTTTCATAAACGAGACGTATTGAGCCTTTCCATATTTTATTTTCTTCTGCTCAATTTTCTTTTGTTTGTGTTTGAAAGACAAGGGAATAATTTTGGTTGGCGTGAGAGTGAGTTGAAGGAGGTTGGGGTGTCTTTGTGAATTTTTATGAATTCTTTCAGAATTTACATACCAGAATTCAAATAAAATAATCAATAGTTCTAAAGAAGATATATGCAAAAATTCAGTAGAATTAATAAATGACATTTGCTAGTCTGCATGATGCATCATTTAATGAGCCCTTCAAGTTCACTATTGATCTACGAAGCTAATGATCCTCACTTTGGCTTGTTTTGGCATTTAAATGGGCAAATAACAGGTATCATGGAACCTTTATGGTTACCTCTTATCAATTTTACTCACTGATGTTATTACTGCGATGGAGTTGCCGTAGGATTTATGTTGTACTGCTCAGGAAAGTAAGTAAGTAAGCGAGGTGTTGTAAGCATTATTCAAATCTTATTAATATCGCTGTCTTTACTGTTACTTTTATAAAGACTTAAAGAACATCTAATGATGGAAATTGAACCCAGCTCTTCACAAAAGATCGTTTTACATATTTCCTATTTACTGACTAATCAATCAGCTACTCAGATTCTACTCGCAAACTAGCAGATTCGATTACATCTAGCTCAACTACTCAGATATCACTTTGGTATTAAAAACTTAATAAGTACAAATAAACAGACAATTTTTGACAATATTTTCTAATCAAGACCCCTTTCTCACTCCAAAAAACAATCCAATTCTCAACAATCACCATCAACTTCTGCAAAATTCATCACAAAACTACATCAGCTTAATGAGATTTTTTCATGAACTTAATTTTGAATTGCTTGATTCTTCTAAGTTTAATTTGTTTAGCTACCCCATCTAACTTGTTTATTCACTTGCAATTTCGACAACTTTACATCGTTTCGTGATTCATTCTTCTCAGTATTTTTCTCCATTTCAGTTCTAAAGACTAACTCAATGGCTCCGTTCCGTTCTGTTTTGTACATTTTATTTCTCAATGGAAGTTTCTAACGTGATTTGATTTATAAAATAAAGAAATTTTCTGTGATTTTCGTTTTATTTTATTTTTTTTGTGTCTTGCTGTTTAGAAAGTTTCATTCTATTATGGATGAACATCTGTGATGCAAATTGAAAAATTTAAAGAAAATTCATAGTTAAATTGAAGGAGTTTTTGAAATAATTTCACGATAGGTCACAGTGGGGTTATTAACTAGTAAATTGTAGTAATTAGAACAGAATCGAGAACTCTGAAACTAAAGCGACAAATCTCCTTAGTTATTGACAAATTGCTTCTTATCAATGCGTAACCAGGCAGGTAATTTAGTGAAAAATAATAATCTACGTTGCTCCTGTAATTTATTCCTCTTCTTAAATTCTGTCTAAGCCACTGAACTCCCCAATACATACATTTAAATAACAGACATCCGTTTAATTCCTGCAGAACATTTTAAAGTACTCCATACATTATCCAACATCTGAATATCCCCTTTAAATCACGAATTGAAGGCATATAAACATGAGTTTAAAACTTCTACTACAAACATTATTCCCTAATGCTGAAATTGAAAGCTTTAAATATAAAATGAAAATCTACCTTGAATGTTCAGAAAGAGAAGCAAAATTACCACATCACATTATAGCTGCAGGACATCCATTTCCTCCATCGATTTTTATAGACAGAAAAAAAAGTTAATTTTTCTCTGCTTTTATTTCCCCGAAACTTTTTTATTCAGGTAAAAAAAAAAGCAGATGGAACGATCAAATTAGATGGTAAGTTGGTGCTCTTAAGGAACTTTAAAAATTAAATGAGATGGAACTAATGAAGAAACTTTTCTACTTCCATTTACTTTCTTTTTGCCTCTTGTGTCTCGATAGAAATCGCAGCACCAACGACAACTCTCACAACGGAACTGACATTTTTAAGTAAAAGTAAGAATTTTATTTTTGCATCATTTTTGATAAAAGCAAAACTTGTTCCTTGTTGAGCATTGGTTACATGATGTTTCAGTTCCAATTTAGGAATGTGCAGCTTCAAAGGCTTTTGATACTTAAGCAATTCTTTTTTTCTCATTTAATTTTCCACTTCAGTTAAAAATCGAATCATCAAGAAACCGAATCAAGCAATTGTGGATTACACGGATGAGTGGCGTAACGGTGAAAATGGTATTTAGACATTTTATTTTGATTCCGATTTTAATTTTAATATTTGAAGAATAATTTTAAATCCATAATTTGTTTTGTTCAGTGACTCACTGACTTCCCTTTATCATTCATCAATTAACAATCCTTTTGTTCATTCATTCAATTCCCATGCGTTTGTCATGTCGGAACATGTGTTGCATGCTGTGCTTTTATGTGTTTTTGATGGCACCAATGAGGATCATGTTTACAATGTTTTTAATGTTCACGTCAGATGATTACTCATTAAAAATATATAAACGTGAATGAAAATCAATATTCGAGTGGGTAATAAGTATCATATAATATGTAGGTAATCCAATATTTTTGTGCAGCTAGCAGGATGTAAGCTTACGTGATGATGCATTGCCAAGAGTGTCTATTTGATTAAATCAGAGATTAAGTTTGCATGGAAATCAAAATGAAGTTTCTAGAAAAATCAGCTTTACTAGTTTATTTCGAATTAATTACAGCATGGAATTAGACTTGTCGTTGAATTTCAAATCAGTTATAGAATCTTAAAAAAAAAAAAAAAAAAAAAAAAAAAAAAACCTTTACCTATTCAGATCAATTGTGATCCAGAGGTGCGCTAGGGCGATTCGCAGCTAATGAGAGTTTAACGAGTGAGGATGCGCCAAACCACTGCACTCAAACCTAGACCTACAATTTATAGTGGGATCCGAACCACTCCTTTGATGACATTTCTGTCTGTAGCCTACAAAGGAAGGCTGTGAGCCTCATTTCCAGTACATATGATTCGAAAAAGAACAAGTGAAAAATTTCCCATACCCAGTCTCGAACCCATGATCGCTGTGTCTTAGAAGTCTTATAGAATCTTAAACTGTATTAATCACCAGACGAGGCTCATGTAAACCAGATATAAGTCTTAAGTTTAGAGCTTGCTTCAAAAAACTAGTCAAGCACTTCATTTTGACAGAAACAAACTTATTTTCACACAAGTGTAAATCCATCAATTTTAAATGTCACAGCGGAATCATTAACTTTTGATTGTTCTTTTAATGACAATTTTTTCAATGCTATTGAAATAAATTGCACCATAATAATATTTAAATAATCAGGAGATAAAATGAGTCGATTAAAGGATTAAAAATACAGCAATTATCAATGGTTTTTAATAATGTTCAATCTACCATATTTTTTATCATTTGTTTGGTCTTCAATTTAAAATAAAATCATGCAGATGAAGCACAACTGCGTTGGGGAGTCAAATATGAATGTAAATTCTCAGGTCATTCATCATTGGTTCCCATTAATTGACATTTTTGCTCTATAATTAGCATCAAATGAAAAGTCCATCAACGCAGAAAAGCTAAAAATCAGAATTTCTGTCATGTTTATGTTCCTGAATGTACACATCAATAATCCTCTTTTTATGCTTTTGTCGTTCTTCCTTGCTTCCATTTTCACATATGGATGATGCCATGCATTACCTTTTATTTGTTATTGAACGTGTACAGTCACAAATAAATATGTGAGGATTTTTTTTCAGCATTTTTGTTTTTTTTTTGGAGATGTCACCGATATCGATGTATGTGGAACTATCGATTATGACTTTTCCTACTTTTTGTCTACTGTCAATGACAATTGTTTGTATTTGTATTGCAGCAATTCCACTTGAACATATGGTCGAGATTTTTCAACATTCAAACAAATCGCGTGGACCACGGAAAATTGAGGATTCAAGTCATTGCCATCGTAAATCCTCACTAATCCTCAGCACGATAAAAATAAAAACTTTTTACAGCAAAACTCAACAAAATCCTCTCAGCTCAAATTTCTAATTCAAATCGCCATTATCGCCTTCCCGCATCCTTCAATAATCAAACTTTTTACTTCCTTTAACAGTTCCACTCCGCATTCATGGATGAAGATATGAATCATATTATAGCTGAACAACACAAGAATGGCATTAAATGCTTTCTTCTTTCTTACTTTATGTTTAATTCATATTTTGTTTCAAACTGCTGCTTCTGATATTTATCTGCTCGAATTAACTTTATCGCTTCTTGCTGTTCTTTATCTTTTGCGAGGTTTTAGTATAAAGTTGAGATTTTGTATTTGTTTTGGGTGAATGGCTAGCTAAAGATGGGAATCATTATTTGATATATAAATTTTTCGAGAAGTTAATATCGTGAGCTGAAATGACGTGATAGGTTTCATGTTTTGTATTAGCTAACAAGTTGTATTGCAAGATTAATACAGTAGTTGTAGGTTTAAATCTTGACATGAGCAATTATTCAAATGCTGCGCAGTTTTGAACTATTTTAAATGGAAATTAAGCTTAATCCTGTCATTTGTAATTTCATTAGGTAAGAAGTTTAGGTCCAACTTTAAATTGACGGTCTTGGTTTGAATGTTGTGTCTGAGGAATTTTTTTTTGTTACGGTCGATGAACCTTCGTAAAACGCACAGACATAGTTGACAATCGTCTGTTTATTGTAGATTTTTGTCCACTATAGCTGATGCTAGCTGCTGCTCTGAGATAAAGCTGTTTAGTAATGGACAGCATTTTTTGTGGGCGCTTAAGACCATCATAATGCCCATGCACTTACTCGCATGCAAACTAAGCTTGTAGCTATTGTTTTCTCAGCCTGTGTATTCATACTTTAATAGCATTAACCAATAACTAAGAATCTCTATAGATCTTGTTGACGAAACTGCGTCTCATCCATTCAATATTCATCGATAATTCACAAAACCACTTCCATCGCATCAATATCAAATTCAGCGGATGATTTACCATTAAAAAAATTTCTTCTTCTGTTCCATCCACTCAATTTTGATCTCTAAGCGAAAATTCACAGTGGGATGGGATCAAAAAGTTTTTCGCACGAGACTGACTTATCCATAATTCTTGTGGATTTTGATATTCAAATGAAAATCACCATTAAATCAATAAATAAATAAAATGTATGAGAATAAGAGGTGAAAACAAGCAGCATTTACAGTTCTGAATGGCAAGAGGAGAAAGCATTATGTCACCATAAAGAATAATGAAATATTAATGCTGTAACGCTTCATATACCTCGTACAATGAATGGTTTTTATTGCCAAGATGATTTTTTATTTTAATCAACATAGGAACTGGAAGTAAGGGAGCACAAATAATCCATTAAATACAGTGAGTGTGAGTATGTACAGCCAAGGCAAATACAGCAACAATATTTAAAGCACAATGTTTCATTGTTATATAGAATGTTACACCGTCATGATTTTTTATTACAGCATATGATGCTCTACTTCTGCTGCTGCTTTCAATTCTTCTTTCTGTTCCTGAATATGGAGGGAAGAAAAATCATATTTTTTTGTAAAGAATTTTTTTTGTACATCACAAAAAAGTAAAACTCATGTGCTTTTATTGAACGGAAAGAAAAGATGACAGCGAGCAGAGAATTAGGTGGTGGAAAGAATGATGTGCCTTTCCATCGCCTTTTCATTATGCTGTTTTCTTTGGAATTTAACATAGAAACTGACTTGAATAGGATGGAATGAAAATTTGCATCATGAATTAAAAAAATTGGACTTTCTCAAGTGAGCTTTTTTATATTGTGGAAAAGCTTTTAAAATGATGAGATTTAATGAAAAAGTGTCATACTAATGGCTTTATTGAGGTGGTCACAGTGTCAGAATATCAAGTGATAAAGGTTAGGTTATGTTATGTAGCATGTAGCATCTCTTAGTTTAATAAGTCATTGCAACGTTGAATTCTCATGGGTTATGCACAGTTGAGAATAAGGTTTGTTTATGTGGCAGGAATTGTTTTATGGGTTGAGCTTTAAGATCTCTCCAATTCTTAATTATATTTTCGTTAGAGTTAAGGCGGTTTGAATTTGGAGGGACTGTTTTAATATTTATTTTAAAATGATTCAAATTTTCAATCTCAAAGTGGCTGGTCTTGACCCCCCCCCCCCCCCCCTTTTCTACTAAAATTAAAGAATTACCATCCACCTTCACCTTTACACGGTATCAAGGAGATAACATAGATTTAATTAAGTTTGATGATCTGCCAAATGTTTCGTAACACACCTGAAGACTTTGGCGACACAAGATTGTATCGTAGCATCTTAAAAAAGCACTAAACCAAAGTGCTTAATTAGAAATTTGACACAAACCCCCATTGGCTATGATTTTTGATTATTAATATTATCCTGCTGAGATTATAAGTTGATAATGTATGATCTTATTCAAATTAATCTTAAACCAAGTTCTAATTCCTAAAATTTAAAATCTCTCATGGAACACAAATCCCAAAAACGTTAAACAGAACAAAAGATTGACTTTCATTTTTAATAAAATTCCTTAAAATCAAGCACAAACATTTGTTTCAACTCCATTACCATACCATGCTTTTCACTCTCTAGACTCAGTAAACTCCATCAAAATCTCCGCAAACCCCTCAAATAAGAATAAGAAGTAACATTTTCTCGTTCTCAATTACAAAATTAAGGCAAAAAACGAAAAACTTTTCCAAAAAAAAACTTAAAAGAAATAACAATTTAGTGAAAATTTCAAGGAATTAAAATGAATTTTCACCTGTAAGAGATAAAACCATCGCTCTGTCGAGTAAACCTCTGCTCTGCTTCCATTTGGCTTTTGCGGTTGACTGGTACAAGCAAAAATGTTACTAAGGTAAAAGGTTAATAAAGGAAAATTATTTTTTCCAAATGCTTCAGGGAGAAATTTTCACCCAAAAAAGAAAAAAAAAACTTTTCATGCAATAACAAGCAACAATGACATTAAGCATGAAAAGAGAGAAGTTTTGAATTATAAAGAGGCTGGGGAAGGAGCTATAAAATGATGATGATGACAATAGAGAAAGTTTTTAACTAGGAAAATTTTCATTTATGTCATTTCTGTGAAATTTTGCCTAATAATAAGCAAGATGAACTTACTAACTAGGTATGCCTTGATAATATTCTCAAGCATTTGTCATTTTCAGGGATCATATGTGACAGGGGTTGGGAACTTGTAA